TTAGAAATAATTTTGAGATGAAATAATTTCCAAAATTAACTTTTTAAAAAAAAATTTAATACAGGCTTTATTTGGGAGTAAATTAAAAAACTGCAACAAGAAGCCTAACATATAAGATGAAATATCAATGACTTGAATTTGAGAAAGATAATAGTCTCTTTGTTATAAAAATTTTTTTGAAGTTGTTTTTGTTAGGTGTCATCAAGTTGAGTACGATTCATAGAAATCTTATGATAAGATTATAAGAGATCTGAACCTTGTCCTCTCCCTTGTGCCAGTGTCATCTTCTCCAACACACTTGAATCCATTGCGGCAGTTATGTGTCAGTCCATTTAGTTGAAGGTCAAAATTAACTTTAAAAATATTTTAAAATTATTATTTTGAAGGAACATATTCTTTATTTGAAATTAATTACATGAGCATACTTTTTAAATTTAATTTTATTTTTTATTAATTTTAATGGAAGTTTACAGAGACTTAGGGTTTCCATTCATTCATTGTTGATGAGCATACTTTTCAATGATGTAGCATGAATTTTTGCAAGTTCTCATCAAAGGTAATGACTGATATCTTTATTATGTATACCCAAAATTCCACAGCTGTTGAATTCATTCCATCTACGGCAATCCTCCAATGGGCGTCCGAGGCATTGACTGTTTGGGGAAGAGACTGCCCATCTTTTCCCACAGAGTGGCTGGTGGATTTGAACTGTTGACCTTTCGGTTAACAACCCAATATGTAATTCAGTATGACACCGAGGCTCCTTGTGAATATGTATACACATGTGTGTATGTGTTTGGGAACCTGTATACATGTCTACATAAAATACATACACACCACTACACATTCATATGGAATTTACCATTACTCATGTCTGTTGTTACATAACTGTTGAGTTGGAACCAACTCATAGCTAACCTGCCAGTGTATTTTCAGAGGCAGTAAATCACACAGTAGGATATTGCCCATCGTCTCCAGCATAGAAGCTAGTGGATTCAAACTGTATCTTTGGAATGACAACTCTGCTCCTTAGCACTAGGCCACCAGAGCTCACTCATGTATAGTGTGAACATAAGGATAGATAGAGAGAGAGACAGACACAATATCTCTACACATATTTAATATACCTACCCAGAATCATCTATGCTGAAATGTGGAAAAGAATGAAAATAGAAATTATATGAAAATGTTACTAAAATAATATACCCCAAAACCTTAAGCTCACTGTCATTGAGTCAATTCCAACTCATTATATATCTAGATATTTATATATCTAGATTTCTATCTCCTTATGGAACTTGGAGAAACGAAGAAAGTTAATACAAGTGTTAAGGTCTTTTCTTCATAAGGTTGCAATAAGTTGCCTGCGACTTGATGGCATTTAACAACAACAACAACTATATAGATTATTTGCATGTACACTGTATTTATGACCTAAGAACAATAAATATCTGTCATGTTGAATATAATTAAGTGTATGTAGTAAAAAATTGTTCCTGTCACATTTTATCTTTGCAGGAAGAGTTCTTTCGTAATCCTCATGCAATAGATATTGAATCTGAAGACTTCATCAGCCTACCCCCTGAAATAAAGCATGAAATCTTGACTGATATGAAAGAATTTACTAAGCGAAGAAGAACATTAGTTGAAGCAATGCCAGAGGTAAAATATGTAATAATACATAAAATGCTTAGAATGAAGACCTTCACCAAAACCTTTCATTAAAAAGGAGAGAAAATTTATATGTATTTAAAGTAAAATATTGCCGTTTCCAATAAATAGCATTTGAGCATCTCAGAGTCTATGAAGCATCATGTAATTATAAATTCAAACTTATAAACATTTTCTCAAGGAAGACATTATTGTGGGTAATATCTCCTTATATATATTCTTATAGTATCTTGTATATGAGAATTTATAGTTCTTTTAGCATAATTTGTCTGCTATATTAGCAGTGATTGAGCTTGTTTCCTTTTCTACCACTTGTTATCTTCAGTGTTGTTGTTGTTGTTGTTGATTGCCTTCCAGTAGAGCACGACTCATAGCGACCCTATGTACAAAAGGCGTGAAACCCTTCCACAACTATCCACATTTATCAAAGTTCATAGAGTTTCTGAAGTCATGTTATTTAGGAAGTGGATGCCACTCCTATTTCCAAACGTAGTTGTCCTTTAGTAGAGGTTTTTCTATACATATTTTTGAACATGTATTTATTTATTTTGGTTTGAGAGTAATTTTGCAAATCAGATTGGTTTTTCATTTAACTATTCACTCATATTTTGCTTTATCACATTAATGAAAATACCCACAATGTAAACAAAAGAAGGAAAGAATACATAGTGTCTTTGTACCAAAAAGAATTGATCCACACTGAACCATTTCAGGAAGTAGCATATAATCAAGAACCAGTGGGAGTAAAGGAAAAAGTTCCAACTGCCCTGAAGGGAAAAAAATAAGGCCGTGGGGTGGGAATAGATAAAATACAAGTTGACATAACAAATGCATCCCTAGATGTGTCCCAATAGGTAGAGGAAAGATTGAAGTTGTCAACAATTTAATTTTTCTTGAATCCACAGTTGACACTCATGGCAACAGCAGTCAAGAAATCAAAAGACCTGTTGCATTGGGCAAGTATGCTGTCAGAGACTTTTCCAAAATGAAAAAGAACAGTGATGCCAGTTTCAAGACTAAGATGTGCTTGATGCAAGCCATGATATTTTCATTTGCTTTCTCTCTATCTCAAGATTGGACAATGACTAAGAATAATAGGAGAATCGTTGCCTTTGAATTGTGGTATTGGAGAAGACACTTTGTCTCCCATACTTTGAGCATGTTGTCAGTAGAGGCCAGTCCTTGGAAAAAGACATCATGCTGGGACAAGTTATCAGAGAAAGAGAGGAGGACTCTCAACAAGACAGATAGAGACAATGACTGCTAACAATGGGCTGGATTATATTAGAGGTAGTGAAGATGGTACAGGACAGGGCAAGGTTCAGATCTCTTGTTCACAGGGTCACTATGAGTGATAGATGATTAAATGGCACCTATCATTCAGCAACAACAATATAATCATACTTTCCCAATTTCTTATAATCCTCATTTCTGTTTATCCTCTGATCCTATCCCTTCCTTCCTTTGGTACTTTAACCTTGGTCAAATGCTACTCTTGACATTATATGATTGGTTAGTCTAAGAAGTGAGTGCCCCCCTGTTAATATTTATCATCTTCTATTCCTGTCTTCAAGAACTAGTCCCTCCTTGCAACATGCCCAAAGTATGTCAGATGAAGCGCCACAGATGTGATTGATCTGATTCCTATGCATATTGTCAGGTGGAATCTATGTGTGTAGCCTGCATCTATGTTTCTTATAAAATGTATTTGTAATTTATAAGTCGTCGTGCAAAATTTTATCATTCCATCTCGTTTTATTTCTGTCATCTCTGACTGCAAAAGTTGGTAGAAATCTATTTCCTCCTCTTTTTCCAGTGTTTGACTTAAAAGTTGAGCCATGGGATGGGCTTTGTTCCAGATTTTACCATTTTTTAATGGATTCCAGAAGCATGAAATAAGCAAAAGATGCTTCTTTAACTATCATTCCCTTCTTTTTTCCCCCTAAAAATGTGAAGATAAGAAAATATGGAGACTCACAGAAGTTACATCCTTTGGGTATACAAAAGAGAGCTCTGGTGTAAGAGTTGTGCCGTTAGCCTAAATGTGGAACAATTCACCAGCTGCTCCAAAGGAGAAAGATGGGGCAGTTTCCTTCAGTGAGATTTACAGCCTCCAAAAACTAGCTGAAAATCATCTATGAGTTGATTCTGACTTGATGCCAATGAATGAGTGAGTAATACAAAGATTAGAGAACATGTAACTACCATTTCAGGTGACAGTCGTAGGTTTAGTGTATAATGTATGCTCAATAGTACTGGAAAAACTAGATTTCAAGTTATATAACCAACAGTGGGAAGGAAGGAATTGAAGAAGAAAAAGCAGTTTGTAATGACTTTAGTTTATTCTTTCTGTTACCACAGTCTCTTGCATTGATGAGCTACAATTTTTATAGAGTGGAGAATTTCAATTCAGCACATTAGGCCTTTGTATAAACCAAACATTGGGCAAATATAATATTGATAATAGTAGTGCTAGTAATAATAATAATAGAAACACTAATGTAATTGTATGTAAGTAAAGTTTTTTTATTGGTAAAATGGAGAAAGTGGTGTCTGCCACATAAGGTGAGCAAGAAATGAAATAAAGCATGTAAGCACATTTAGGAGAGTGCCTCCCTGCTTTGTAAATATTAACTATTAGAGGTAATTATAGTAGTTATAATTCATTGTGCAAGTTTTTTCTCTTAGTGTTTGTGTGTGGGCTGGGGACAGTGCTTGGTACATCATTTGAATATGTACTGGCATTTTGGAATATTTTATGTTACACTAAAGTCAGAATGTAACAGTGCTGGCATACATTAAATGCTCAGTGGATGCTTTTGACAAGATGATTAAATCTTACTTGGTGTCTATGGTTCGATTTCTTTTCCACAGTCATTTTTCTTTTAAAGATTAACCTCTAAAAAAGTTATTTTTATCCTATTAAAATTTTACTTTGATAAAACAAAAACACTACTGTAAAAGAAAAGTTCATTGTTCCTGTTGGGAAAAAGAATTGAAATAAGGCAATATCATGTATTTAAAATTTTTAATTATAATTTTACAAATTGGTTTTACTTTTAGGAGTCCAATGACTTTTCACAGTATCAGCTTAAAGGTTTGCTTAAGAAAAATTACTTAAACCAGCACATAGAAAATGTTCAAAAGGAAATGAATCGGCAGCACTCAGGGCAAATCCAAAGGCAATATGAAGATGAAGGTGGATTTTTGAAGGAAGTAGAGTCAAGGAGAGTGGTCTCTGAAGACACATCACATTACATCTTGATAAAAGGTATCATATAGCATCATTTATTTGACAGTTAAAAACCAAAAATATGTCTTATCTCTGAACCCTCTAAGTTATCGCTTTGAGTCAAGACAATATTAAGCCTTGCTTATGTAATAATTTTATAGAGCTTTTAATGAATTAACACTTTCATGCTAATCTACTTTGAAATGAACTAAAGAATTAATAACTAGTTATTACTATAAAGTGAAAACATCTACGTTCATTAATGATGATCAGTATTGTTTAACCTACTTAGAAGTTTATCATCATACTGTAAAACTACATAATTAGGAATTTTTCCTTTTTTAAAATTTTTAGGTCTTCAATCTAAAAAAATGACAGAAGTAGATTCGGAGTCTCTTCCTTCTTCCAGCAAAATGCATAACATGTCTTTTGATATGAAGTCATCTCCATGTGAAAAAGTGAAGCCAGAGAAAGAGACTGATGCTGCCCCTCCTTCTCCAAGAACGTTATTGGCTATGCAGGCAGCCATGCTGGGAAATAGCTCAGAAGAGGAACCAGACAGTGAAAATAAAAGGCAACACAACAAGAAGAATGCATCTGTTCCTGTAGATGAGGGCTCAGTATCGCCGAGGACTCTCTTAGCTATCCAGAAAGCTCTTGATGATGATGACGAAGTGAAAGTGCATGGTGGGAACAATGTGCAGATGAGAGACTTAGGAGAGAAAAAACTACTTGTTAAAAATTCTGATGAGGAACATGATGAAAGACTCAAAGTTCAAGATGATGGAAAAGGAATGCAGTTTCCAACCACACCTCATTCAGTAGGCATGAACCTTGTGGAGGAGAGTGTAACTAACACAAATAACAGAAAAGAGCTGACCAACCCTGCTCATTTATTAGCAAGCACTGTCTTTTGTCAGGGTGGTGAATCTAGTGTTCAAGAAGAACAAGCATCATTTATTCACACAGTGAAAACAAAGGTTGATGAATCTATGCTAAAGGATAGACAAGTTCCCATTCCTTTGGAAAGTGAAGTTGTTCTGCAGAGTGCTGCAGCTGGGCTCCAGAACAATAAAGAATTGATACCAACATCCTCCCCAAGTACAATTTTTGTATCACAGAATGAGCCAAACCCAAAAGATCTTGAGCCACAAAATTATCCTGGCACATCTGAGAGCAAGTATGATTCCTCTGTTCTATCAAGTGATGATGAAACAGAAGGTGAAAAAAATACTTCTGAAGTCAGTGGCACTGTCCCATTGCAAAAAATGAGCAACACAGTCAGCGTCCCTTCAGAGACATTAAGTAACTTGGAAAATGTGGTATCGCTTAATAGTAAACAGCATGAGAACTTACTGAAAACTATTCAAGAAAGTGCAAGAAATGAATCTGCAGATCAGGATTTAATTTCCATTTCAAAGTCCATGGAACCAATGGAAATGGAGTCTGAAGACAGTGAATCTGATGGTAAGTGTTTACATTCTTTTAGATTAAAAAAAAAGTAGTAGATTTCCCCGTTTGTTGAACCTGACAGATCTGTCTAGTCTTTGCTTTTTACTGATAGTAATCAAGAAGTTTAAATCAGTTTCTCAAGGACAATCTACCATTCATTATAATCTTGAACATTCTTGTTGATGTTCCTACTGTATTTTTCAAGAGAGTATGTTCTAGTTGGAGAAGTTGAAGGTAAGTTTCGCTTCCATTTTTTTAATGTTTTACTCTTATGTAACTACAAACTTCAGAAAAGTTTATAGTAGAGAATGTACTTCCTTTTTAGTACTTCAGTTTCTAGAATTTTATCGCATTTGCTTAATTATCCATTCTCACCATATGCACACATGCACAATACACAACACAGCACAACATATATGGACTATATATATACCTGCTTTGCCACATGCACACATGCCTGAAGATTTTTTCCTCCATTGTCTGTAGGTGTCTTCACTCTATAACTTACTGTAATGAAATGTGTGAGAAGTTGACTCAACGAGATTGACTTGCTTTTCTGGGTGTTGTAAATTTTCCACCTTTGAGAGGCTAAAAGATTTCCTACTTTTCTTATCACTTTCTGTCAGTAGGAAATATTTAAATTTTCCTTCTCTCGCGATTTCTGTTTTACACAGTTTTCCACTGCAGTTTTTTCCCCCTTTGTATTTAATTGGTATTTTGTGGGATGATATTTTTAGAACTGTGTGAATTTGCTGTTTCTGAACTGGTTTCCACCTCTTTGGTTTAGCATCCACTGATGATTTTCACTTGAATAATTTACTACGATAATGATGGACAAATGATGGTTTTCTAATCCCCTTATTCCTTACATATTTATTAAATTCATATCCTACTGTAATGAAAATCTGCCTTTGTCCTCCATTTACTTATTTTTTTTTTCTTTTCTTTTTTTACCCATCCCTTCCCATGCTCGTTTGGAAGTGTCACCTTTCTGAATTGTCTGCTGCCAGCATCTTTGATTCAGTTGGTTGAAGAGTTAGCATGCAAAGTGCAAACAGGATAGGGAATTTTCTCCCTTGGTGGGATATGCAGACCTTGGGACTTGTGTGTATACAAGTATATATCATACTGTCTAAAGTAAAATTTCCAGTGGTATAAATTTTTTCCCCCCATGGTTGAAATGACTTTCTCCCTTGATGTTTATGTTGTTAATAACAACTTTTATTCCTTAATGGTGTTCAAAATGTTACAGACAATATAATTTCATCCCTACTTCTGTTGGACTACATATTTGATTTTTTCCTTTCTATTTGATATTGGTTTGCATACAGAATTATACGTTGTGTTTCATACTTTCCTTCATTCACATTGTGTTTCATGAAGTCATTCCCATGCATTGTCCTTCATCTAATATATCATTTCTGACTCATGGGTTCCTATTTTGTTTAGGACATCGCTATCATAATTTATGTTTTTGTTTGGATTGTCTCACCTTTGGCTAGGGAGGACCTTTCGACAGCCCTGCAGTCAGTCATTTCACCAGTGAGGCCTGGCTCCTTATAATGAAGCGTGGTATTTACAAACCAAGACCTAGGGACTGGGTGTGCATCAGACCAATCCTAGCTGCTGTAGAGTCTGCTCTGTCCCATGGTGGCTCTCCACTGAATTTCAAGGCTGTGGGTCTTAAGGAGGCTGCCTCATCTTTCTCCCATGGACTTAAACCACTGGTGACTTAAACCACTAATTTACTGTTTAGCATTTCAACACTTAACCACTATGCCACCAGGACTCCTTGTGTTTATTGTTACTGAGGTTTTATTACTTCAGATCCACTCAGTGACAGAGCCAGAAAATGTTCATTTATATATGTTGTTGTTGTTGTTATGGGCCGTCGAGTTGCTTGTGACTCATAGCAACCCTATGTACAACAGCCCTAAACTCTGCTCTGTCCTGTGCCAATCGCACTGTCTCTTACACTCCCATCCCAATTATCCCAGTCACTGAATCAATCCACCTCATAGAGTGCCTTCCCCTCCTGCGTTGTCCCTCCACCCACACACCTATTTATATTTCTATGTCTATGTGTATATGTTAAAAAATTCATACTAATATCTCAGCTCCAGTGCAGTATCACAGATTTCATGTAGTCCCCCTCCTTATGTGTAATTTCCATTTTTAACAGAAAATTTGCTCTCATCATCCTTAATATTGTTGTTGTATGTTGTTGAGTCAGAATTGACTCATAGCTGACCCTTCAGTGGGTTTTCAGAGACATTAATGGAAGGAGATTGTCTGTCTTTCTCCTGCAGAGCAGCGGGTGGATTCGAACTGCATACTTTTCAGTTGACAGCACAACATTAAACTACTAATAAATTTTCTCATTTGCTTATTCCTCCCCTGTAAGCAGTCTCCCTGTTCCTCTGGCTCCTTCCTTGGCCCTGTATGCTCCCCTAGCTCTAGTGCCCACTGCCTGATAGCCCCTAGTCCCTGATAGCCTCAGCCGTCTTCTCAGTCATAAATTCTTCCTCAGACACAGACAAGAAAACAAGAGAGAAGGAAAACAGAGGACGAAGTATTAGTATTCTTTCCACTAAGTCACAACTTTATTCTTTGCTATGCCAATAGTGAGGGAGCTCTGATGGTTTAGTGGTAAGGGTCTGTGCTGCCAACCCAAAGACATGTAGTTTGGATCCACCAGCTGCTTCTTAGGAGACAGATGAGTAATATTCTCCCTGTAATTTACTGCCTCTAAAAACTCACTGGAGGATCAGCAATGGTTGATTCTCACTTAACAGCGTATAACAACACAACAATAACATGCTAATAGTTAAGTAGCGTAAGACTATTTTTACAACTTCTGTAATTTACATAGTATGATAATTCTACTTTATGAATTATAAAGAACATTAACTGATTTAGAATATATTTGCATAAAGAAAATATAAAATCTTTAAAATTTTTATACCCAATTTTGAAAACAATGCCTGTTTGTCTAATATGGTAAGTTTAAAGGTACTTTAAAATGAAATTTTAAATGAGATATAGTTTTAAGTTGTTATTTTATAGTCTTTTATGGTCAAATGATTTCTTTTTACTGCAAAACATTTTTTTCAGGATAATTGTATTTGTAAAGTGACTTTATTATTTTGGTACAGGAAGTTTCATTGACGTGGACAGTGTAATTAGTAATGATGAAAGTCAAGTTGAATTACTGGAAGAGTCTAAACCTCCTTCTGAACAAGGTGAAAAGTCGACTATTGAAGAGAGACTGAATGAAACTAGCATGGAAGAAATCCCAGGTGATACTGAGAGCCACCTAAGAGACACCTCTGGAAGCGAGAGCTTGGATATTGAGCCACATGAAGAAGCTGAAAAGGATGCAGATGGTTCAGTCAATGAATGGCAAGATATTGATCTGGTAATAATGTAACAGTGGTTTAATTTATCCCTATGGAAGAGAAGCACTGTTGAGTTTTAAGGAGTGGCTGGATGGATATTAGTTTATGTGTATCATCTTCTTGCTGATGGCTCCTTTTTTATGTAGGTTTCTGTCTGGGATAGACTGTACTTTCCTTGTGATTTAGTGAGGGAACTCTACAGATATGACAGAATAGTGCGCAGAAACCCAAGTGGACTACTTCATAAAGAGAATTTTTGGTCATTTCAGTCAGACAACGTGCAGGCTTTTTTTAAACAAATGAGCTTAATTGAATAGTAAATATGATTATCTACAAATGTAATTATTCTGTAGGAGGAACTGGAGTCTCTGGAGAGCAGCCTGTTAGAACAACAGAATTCATTGAAAGTTCAAAAACAGCAGCAAGAACGGATTGCTGCTACTGTGACAGGACAGATGTTCCTGGAAAGTCAGGTGGGTTGCCTGACCCTTGTCCTCCTTAAACAAAGCGCTATTTTCATGTCTGGATAAGGCGCATGTGTGCATTTCAGTAGGTGTCACTGTGTGTCTGTAACCCTTCAGGAACTTCTCCGCCTGTTTGGCATTCCCTACATCGAGGCTCCAATGGAAGCAGAAGCGCAGTGTGCCATCTTGGACTTGACAGATCAAACTTCTGGAACAATCACTGATGATAGTGATATTTGGCTGTTTGGAGCACGGCATGTCTATAAAAATTTTTTTAATAAAAATAAGTTTGTAGAATATTACCAATATGTGGACTTCCACAACCAATTAGGTAAGACTTCAGAGTATAATTGCTTTCTGACATTTGCCTTCAGAACTTACAATTTCAGTTCTTTCCAAGAAACAATTAATGAAAAGGGTAGATTTATAAAAAAGTTTCATTTAAATTATCTTTTGTCTGTACAGAGCAATAAGATTTTAAAAATGAGAATTAAGAAATGAAAATACAAGTTTGCTTAGGTATTTCTGCAGTTTAATCCTCTGACTGAGCAGTGACTATTACCCTGAGGTCTCCAGAGTGAAGGAGAAGAAAGAAGAGAGAGGAAGCAGGAAGGAGTCACTTCCACCAACTCAAGAGCCTCATGGTCCTACATCAGTGCTTCTGCCATTCATCATTTGTTCTTACACTCCCTCAGCAACATCTAACGAATGACTCTTAATGTGCTATTTCTGTTCTTCACAGTGGAGATGTAATAGTGAATAAAGAAGCTTAGTATGTGAAATAGAGAACTAAATACATATCCAAACTAAAAAACCTCAAGCTCATTGCCTACAAAGCAGAGCTGACTTAGAGCTGACCCTCTAGTGGGTTTTCAGAGGCCCTAAATCACGTGGAAAGAGATAGCTTGTCTTTCTCTCTTGAAGCTGCTGATGGACTTGAACCAGCTGCCTTTAGTAGCACAATATCCTACTGACCAAGTCACCAGAGTATATATTTGTAGTGTATATACTACACAGCTAATATGAAATTTGATGGCATGTACCATATAGATGGATAAAGCAGTATGCTGCTTAAGAAAGGCTTTTCTGATATGTGAATTTTGGACAAGGACCTGAAAAAGGAAGCAACTATACTGGAAAAGAGCACACCAAGTAAAGGGACTAATGGATACAAGTCCCTGATACATAAGAATTGGTATGTCCTATGAGCACACAGGACAATCTGAAGGAAGCAGTGAATGAAGAAAAGAATGGCAAAAAGTTAAGTTCAAGAAAGAGGAGGGCAAAATCAACTACAGTCTCATGAGCTCCCGAAGGGCTTTGCAGTTGGATTGGTACAGGACTCAAACTCATTGCCGTCAGGGTGAAATTGATTCATAGCTGACCCTGTAGCAAGTTTTTAGAGGCTAGAAGTCTCACTGTTTGAAGGTTACCCATCTTTCTCCTGCTGAGAAGCTAGTGAGTTTTATCCACCAGACAGGTGCTGCCTTTGTTAGCAGTAAAACTCCCTACGGCCTGTGCTACCAGAGGAGGAGAAAAGTCAGAGATGACTTCAAGTTCTGAACGGTCAGTAAGATATACTTCCCTTTTAATAAAATAGATAGCAGGATATAGGGGGAAATGAAGATTTCAGGTTTGGATGTGTTATATTTGAGATGTTTGTTGTACATCCAATTGGAAATACTAAGTTCATAGTTGGATATACATGTGATTATAGTTTAGAAGTGAGATCCAAACTAAATAATCTAAATTCAGTCAACAATTAATGATTAAAGCTGTAGGAGTATATGAAAAACATATTTTTTTTTATTAAGAGAAGAATATTTTCAATTAGTAAAAAAAAGAATCATTAGAAAGGGACATATATGTACACCACACATCACTTCTCATTGTCCTCAAGTTGGAATTGACTCCTAGCTGACTTTCATTGCGTTTCTGAGGCTGTAAATGCATAGGAGGAGACCACCCATCTTTCTCCCAAAGAGAGGTTGGTGGATTTGAATTGCCAGAGAGGTGCAGCCTTTGGATAAGCCGTTCAACTCCATATGGACTTTGGGACTATGCCAACCACTAGGCCACCAGAGTTCTGTATGTGTATGTGTGTATATGTATGTATGGTGTGTGTGTGTGTGTGTGTGTGTGTATAGCTAACTTAAAGATTATTGATTAAAATCCACTAGCTATTTCTCTAGAGGAAGATGGGCTGTTTCCTCCTGTAAAGATTTGCAGTCCTGGAAACACAGAGGGGCTTATTATGAGTTGAGATCAACTTGATGGCAGTTGAGTTTGGGGTTTGGAAATATATGTGTGTGTATATACTATTTTTTGCATTTGTAGTATGTATTTCCCCCCCCCCATTTGCAGGATTGGACCGGAACAAATTAATAAATTTGGCCTATTTGCTTGGAAGTGACTATACAGAAGGAATACCCACTGTAGGTTGTGTAACAGCCATGGAAATTCTCAATGAATTCCCTGGACATGGCCTGGAACCTCTCCTGAAATTCTCGTATGTTCCTTACAACTTTTAATTCAGTCATTTATATAAACACCAACATTAACAAACAGAACTACTATTTACATAAGGAAGTGTCACAGATTGTATTATTCATTGAGAAAACAGGAGGAACTCTTAGTTGGGTTACAAAAATTTGTTTTATCTAGAGTTTTATGATGTAAGAGTTGATATGTTTAGTGGAGTTGAGCATATATATCCTTGTTCAGAGATACAAAGTCTAGTCCTTTGGAGGTGGTTTTTGTGTGTTGTTGAGTCAGAACTGATTCATAGCCTATCCTCCAGTGGGATTTCAGAAGCAGTAAATTTCTTGGGAGGAGTTTGTCCATCCTCCTGCGGAGCAGTTGGTGGATTCAAACTGTGTGCCTTTGGGATTGTAGCACAGCTTTTAACCACTAGGCCACCAGAACTTCCTGGAGAGTAGAAGTTGGCATTTTACATATTCAAATATTTACTGAATAGACCCTATGTTTGGACACGTGTGTATTTCTCTATACATAATTCAGATGTGTGCATATACATATATATAAATAGTGTGTTTTGCTTATATTGTTATTTGTAAATTGTGATTAATATTTCAAAGATGAAAAGGCAGAAGGAGAATGGGAGAAAGTTATAAGTATGCTCCCAGTGGATTCTTACTGTGAAGCTAATCCACATTGCAATTATACTTTTTTAGTGCTAGATGGCACTCCTGCACCAATAAGGGGATACAACTGGCTGGTTCACAAACATGAATCAGTTCTTTTTAGATACCTTTGAGTCACTTGGGAGTCATAATGACCCTATGATCAAAAGATCTGAACCTTGCCCTATCCTGTACCATTGTCACACTCTCTATGAGCCTACTGTTAGTGTCAGTCTATTTCCCAGAGGATCTTCTCTTATATTGACTTTCTTCCTTTCCCAGTGTGATGTATTTCTCCAAGGATTGGCCCCTCCTGATAACATACCCAAAGTATTTGAGACAAAGTTTCACTGTCTTTGTTCTATTGTTTCACTGTCTTCATTTCTATTGTTCATTCTTTCCATAGTATATTCCATACTCTATGCCAACAGTACAATTCAAAGGCATTGATTGTTTAGTCTTCCTTATTCACTGTCTAGCTGTCAGAACCATAGAAAGCAATTGAAAATACTGTGACTTGGATCAAGCACACCTTGTATTTCAACTGACATCCTTGTTCTTTAGCACTTTGGCGAAGTCTTTCACAGCTGGTTTTCTCAGTTTAACATGTCTTTTGATTTCTTGACTGCTGCTCCTATAGATAATGACTGTGGATCCAAATAAATGAGGCCGTTGACAGCTTCAATTTTACTCCTTGTATCATGATGTTGCCTATTGGTCCAGAGATGAAAATTTTTACCTTTCTTGATGTTGAGATGTAATCTCTATTGAAAGCTTTAGCCTTTGATCTTCAGAAAGTGCTTCGAGTCTTCTTCATGTTCTGCAAGGAAGTTTGTATCATTTGTATAAAGCAGGTTGTTGATGAATCTTCCTCCAGTCTTCATGCATTATTTTTCCTGTAGTTCAGCTTTTTGAATTATGTACTCAACATACAGGTTAAGTAGGTAAAGAAAAAGGATACAGCCCTGGCCCATACATTTCCTGGTATTAAACCAGTAAATCTCTGAAGCAGTAGAATATGGTATTTTCTAAAGTCCTTTTGAAAAGGTTGCTGAATTGGTGAAAGTGCCTTTTCTAACTATGGAAATATTTTCCGATTATCTATTAATATTGCACAAACTGCCTTAAGTCTCACTGGCTTAAAATGGCAGCAGCCTTTTCTTTTTTCCATGAATAAGTAGTTGTTTCATCTGTATTCCGTATATTATCAGCTTAGGCAGCTCCTTTGGGCTAGATGACCCGCTCAGATGACTCATGTACATACATAGATGGCAAGTTGGTGCTGACTGTTGACTGGAGCTCTGACAGAACTATTACCAGAGAGCTTGGATCCTCTCCATCTGGGCCTTTTCATGAGTTTGGACTTCCTCACAGCCTGTCTAATAGTTCCAGCAAGGAATATTCCAATAGACAGGAAGTAGAAACAGTCTGTTAATGCCTGGCACAGTTCTATTTCATAACTATATTCTATTGGACATAAAGCCCTAGAGTATGTCTCATTGAAAGAAAGGAACATGGACCCACTTCTTTATTTTCTTTAATTGGTTTTTGTACAATCATTTATATACATTGTGCTTCATTCATGTACATTGTGTTTTATTCACATATATTGTGCTTAATATAATCGCTGTTTTCCCCTTATTTTTCTTCCGCTCCCCTTCTCTCATTCCCCTTGTGAACAATTAAACATATCCTGTTCCTGTTTGATGACAATAACCATATTGTCTTTTCAGCATTTCTTCTCAGGTTAATTGTCCCTTCTCCAGATCCTTTACATGTCCATTGACAGTTCATTCTATCTCTACTCTCCTGATTCCCCTCAATCTTCTAGTTACCTTCCTATTTTCATCATAGGAGATTGCCTTTTTTTTTTTTTTTCTCCCGTGGAGCAGATGGTGTATTTGAACTCTATACCTTTGGGTTGGCAGTGCAATTCCTTACCACTAAGCCATCAGAGTTTCTTGTTTTACAAACTGGTTGTTCCTTAGTGCTGCATAGTATTTTACTGTGTGATTATACTACACTTTATCCATTTGTTGATAGGCATTTGGATTGTTTCTGTCTTGCTATTGTGAATAATACTGCAATAAACATAGATGTATTTGGCTCTGATTTCCTTGGTGTATATTCCTAGTAGTGGAATAGCTGGGCCATATAGGATTTCTATATTCACCATTTTTTTTTTTTTAAATTTATTTTATTCATTTTAATGAACATTTACTGAGGTTTTGAATTTCCATTCATTCATTGTTACACTTTTCTCCCTGCCCACCCCTCCCCCCCGTTCACTCCTCTCTTTGAAAAGTAAAATTCTTTCATTAGTATACAATCCCCCCGCACCCCCCCAACCCCAAGTACACTCCACTGTTGTCGTTGTTATATGCCGTAGAGTCGCTTGCGACTCATAGCGACCCTGTGTACAACAGCCCTAAACTCTCCTCTGTTCTGTGCCAGTCACACTGTCTGGGATACACCTATCCCGATTATCCCAGTCACTGAATCAATCCACCTCATAGAGGGCCTTCCCCTTGTGCACTTTCCCTCCACCCTATCAAGTATGATGTTCCTCTCCAAGGTCCGGTCCCTCCTTACAACATGTCCAAAGGTATGTTAGACGGAGCCTCAGAATCCTTGCCTCCAGGGAGCCGCCTGGTTTAACCCTTTCCGGGATGAACCTGTTTGTTGTCCTAGCAGTCCATGGTACCCTCAATACTCTTCTCCAACACCACAGCTCAAAGGCATCAATTCTCCTTCTATCCTCCTTAGTCACTGTCCAACTCTCTTATGTGTAACAAGTGATAGCAAAGACCATGGCCTGTTTCAGATGCACCTTAGTCTCCAGAGAGACACCATTGCTCTTCAGTACATTGGAGAGGTCCCTAACGGCCTACTTTCCCATTGCAATACGTCTTTTAATTTCCTGGCTACTGATGCCTAGAGTGTTGACTGTAGAGCCAAGCAAACTAAAGCTGTGAACAATCCCAATCTCTTCACCATCCATCCTGATGCTGCCAACACTCCACTATGCAACCTTAATTCTGGACTCTTGTGATAACCATTTTACTCTATCATATATCGCTTTTAAATTCTTCTCTCTCTCATTTGTTTCAATGCAGTATACATAATTTATCCAGTTTTTCTCAGTCTTACTACAACCCTGATGTCAGTCTCTTTCTACAGCAGTGGCAGTATTTGTCCTTTTATGACTGAGATATTTCACTCAGCATTATGTCCTCCAGGGTCATCCATTCTGAAAAATATTGCATGAGTTCCTTGTTTTTCAATGCAGCATAGTATTTCATTGTGTGAATATACCACAGCTTTTCTGTCCATTTGTTTGTTGATGGTCACTTGGGTTGTTTCCAGCTCCTTGCTATTGTGAACAAAGCCGCCATAAACATGGGTGTGCATGTATCTGCTTGGATGTTGGTTATGGTCTCTTTAGGGTAAATGCTGGGTCAAATGGTATCGCTATTTGCAACTTTTTGAGAAAGTGCCACACCACTTTGCACAGTGGTTGCACCATTTTACACTTCCACCAACAGTGAATAAGGGTTCCAGTTTTTCCACAACCTCGCCAGCATTTGTTGCTTGCTGTTCTCTTAAATTTTGCTATTCTGACTGGGGTGAGATGATATCTCATAGTTGTTTTGACTTGCATCTCTCTCACAGCTAGGGATTTTGAGCATTTCTTCATGTGCTTGTTGGCCATCTGGATGTCTTCTTTGGTGAAGTGTCTATTCATATCCTGTGCCCATTTTTCAATTGGATTATTTACTTGTATCTTCTTGCGGTGCTCCAGTATTTTATAAATTCTAGACATAAGTCCCTTATCTGACATGTCATTCCCAAATATTTTTCCCCCTGTCTGTGGCTTCCCTTTTTACCCTGTTGGAGAAGTTTTTGGATGTGTATAGGGATTTGATTCTTAGAAGGTCCCATTCATCTATTTTATCTTCTCCTGGTTGTAGTTTTTTTCAGGATACTTGGAAGACTGTTGATGTTGTGGATTAGAACTACCAGAGTTCTTCCAAGTTTTTCTTTAATGAAGGTTATAGTCCTTGGTTTTAGTCCTATATTCACCGTTTTGAGGAAATGCCAAACTTGCCTTTAGAGTGGTTGGTTGTACCATTTTACAGTCACACCAACAATGTATGAGAGTTCCAATTCTCCGCATCCTCACCAATATTTATTTTAGGCTGTCCTATTAAATTTTGCTATTGCTGCTGGGGCGAGATGGTATCTTGTTGTTTTGCAACTTTCTAATTGCTAGTGATTTTAAACATTTTCTTATATCTTTGTTGACCATCCAAATATCTTCCTTGGTGAAGAGGCTTTTTTTTTAAACAAAAATTTATTTTCCTTTATTATTTTCTCTGTTTGTACCATCGAATTGGGTCTGACTGGTACAGGAGGAGATTGCCCCTCCTTCCCCAGCAGAGCATCTGGTGGATTTGAATTGCGAGCCTCTGGGATTGCAGTGCATCTTCTTGCCACTAGGCCACTAGAGCTCCCTGAAGAGTCTTTTCTTTATGTCCTTTGCCAATTTTATGACTGGATTATCAGTGTTTTTCTTATGGAGGCCCTGTAGTATTTTAAAAAAATTTTAGTGTGTTCCTTGTTTGAAATATCATTGGCAAATATTTTTTCCCTAGTCTGTGCGCTTTCTTTTCACTCTGTCAGAAAAAGTTTTTGATGCCTACAGGGATTTTATTTTTAGAAGCTTCCATTTGTCGATTTTATCCTCTTCTTGGTTGTGAATTTGGCTCTGCTTTCAAGCCCATTCAGGCTATAGCCTAGGACTTCTAAATTAGTTCCTATTCTTGGACCCCATTTCTTGATCAGGGAAATGCCAAAAAATGTGTGATCATCATTTACTTCCATAGTAATGTGTGCTCATTATTTAAAACATTGAAAAAGAAACAAAAAAAAGAAAATGAACACTTTACAGAGAGTGAGCCACTTTAACAGGCATATTCTATTCTAATATTAATATTTGTGTATCTGTTTTCAAATTTGTAAAATGAGAAATATGAATAATATTTATATACTTGGAATATAAAATTAAATGGACCAACAAGAAAAGTGTTTAGAACATTGCCTCACACACAGTAAAATGATCATTATAATTTTTATATAAAGATTTATATCAAGATTTCTATTTTCTTTTCACATACATGCATTTTATTTTCAAAATTGAGATCATCTTTACATAATTAAAATTTAAAGTGTTAGTACTTTTGGATCTGTCATTGATTTGCTCTTTGACTCAAGCTAGGTAAAGCAGATATTTTACTTCTATGTTACCATTGAGAAAGATTTTTGAAAAGTTGTGACTTTATGTTTTTATGAGCTTGAGCTCTGTAGAAAGATTGTCAGAGTTTTGACTGTACCAATTCTAGCTGTGAAACCTTAAGCATAGTACTTTTTTGCATTCACTTATCTGTGTAATCTAAGGTTAATGATAGAACTCTGCTTATGAGATGATTTGGCATGTGGAATAGTTCTTAATATAGTGCCAGGTGAAGAATTAGCATTTAATAGATATTTAATCAGTATTTTATAATGATAGTAAAAGTAATAATATTATTTTATAGATGATATAATTTGTTTTGGAATTGATCTAACAATCTTCTTGATGACAATTACTTTTTTTTTCGGCTTAAGTGTAGCTGTTTTTCTGAAGTGCATCTATTAAATGTCTTTGTTATTTTATAAATAATTACTTCCTTTCTACCTTGTAGAGAGTGGTGGCATGAAGCTCAACAGAATAAGAAGATAAGACCTAATCCTCATGACACCAAAGTGAAAAAAAAATTACGGAAACTGCAACTCACTCCAGGTTTTCCTAATCCAGCTGTCGCAGAAGCTTACCTGAAGCCCACGGTGGATGACTCAAAGGGATCATTTCTGTGGGGGAAACCTGATCTTGAAAAAATTAGAGAATATCCTTTTATTTTTAAAAACAGAAAGGAACATTTTGCTAAATATATGTGTAAATAAGATACAGAACATGGATTAAAGTTTTTCCCCCTTAAATTCCATTTATTTCAGACTTTCCTTTAGTTCCCCCCACTCCTTAAGGAGGATATTTAGTTGAAATAAGTAGTGATAAGCCTTCATAGATAAAGCCATATATAATTTAGTATCAGTCTGAAAGAGAAGAGATGATTAATTTTGTTTTTGTTGTTGGTGTTTTCCCCCGGGTGTACCATTTGAATAGAAGTTAAAATGTTTGCAGTAGAATTAATGGAACTGTCTTTTTTCTTGGTTTTTATCCTGAAAGAAATAAATCACTGCTTACTTTGATGTCTGAAAATAATAGTTGGATATGCTTTGTCTAGAAAGCTCTGGTGGTGTAGTCTTTAATGTGTTGTGCTGCCAAGTCAAAGACTGCTTTTCTGGTGGTTTGACTCCACCAGCAGCTCCGAGGGAGAAGGATGTGCTTCTCTTTCTGTGCAGTGTACAGTTTTGGAGACCTGCTGGTAGGTCAGCCATGAATTGGCTCTGACTTAACAGCTATGAGAGTTAAGTATTAGAGAAAACGGAAAACGAATGTAGTGCCAAATGATTATATTGATGTGTTTTGTTATTCTTTTACCAACTTAATCTTTATAAATATGAAAATCTTTGGAGATATAGAGATTCAAGAGTAGGTTATTTGGACCTGCTAATTTATCACCTCTTTAAATAGTTTTTAAAATTGTTTAAGTCTTAACTGCTTGCATATTTTGTCAGCGGTATTTTGGCTGGAACAGGACTAAGACAGATGAATCTCTGTTTCCAGTATTAAAGCAACTGAATGCCCAGCAGGTAAGCATTGTGGGCTTTTATTCCAAGTTCAGGAGAAAGAGTAAACTTGTTTAGGCTGTGGGTGATAGTTACTAAAGAGCACTTAACTCTTTTATTTAGAGCATAGCACATGGATTTTAAAATGATGGTACTTTAGATTAGCAAACAAGAAAATGTAAAAAGAAAATTTTAATTTGTCTTCATTTCCTAATATCACTGTTAGGGTTGCACTTTGGTGTCCTGTCTAACTTTGAGAGAAATGGAAGCAAAAACTTCAAAATGATCTAAATAGGTCTGGAAAAAATTTGAAGGGGAAAGTGGTCTTTTCTGGGGTCTTTATAGTTCATCTGTGTTGTTGTTACTTGCCGTCAAGTCCAGCATGACTCATAGCAACCCCATGAACAAAAGGCCTGAAGCCTAGAACTATTGTCATTTATCAAAGTTCATAGCGTTTCCAGAGGCATGTTGTTTAGAAAGTGAATTCCACTCTTGCTTCCAAATTAATATATGGTAAATATATATAGCTTTAAGAGCCTGTTTATCAAGAATCAATTGCATTAATAAGTCCACCACAATTGAACTAAAAATACAAATATATATTAGAGTATTTACTTTGAAACTATCAGAGCATAGTAGTTAAAAAATATGAAAGTCTTATAAAGAAATAGGATTCAGTACATCGTATTTATAAAATTATATTTTTTTAAGATTCTTAATACAACTAGGACTATATTAGGTGTTTAACTATTTAATATTGTCTCATTATTTACAAAGTTTTCTTGAGTATCACCATAAAGCAAATGAACACTGAGACATTTAGAAAGCAAAAAAGATATTCTTCAAGAGTCCTTTAAAGGAAGAAGAACTTCATCCATAGTTACTGTGAATACATTACTATTCATTCAGAAACAGACTTTTATCTCTCCCTAAAACAAATTCATGGAATATACATAACAAATAAACCATTTACCATAAATGAAGTTATATCCCTTGTTGTTATTGTTGTGTACTGTAGTGTTGGAACCAACCCATAGCTGACCTTCCAGCAGGTTTGTAGAGGCAGTTTAATTCATGAGAGGAGATTGCCCCTCCGTCTCCCATGGAGCAGCTGGTGGATTTGAACCTCTCATGCCTTTGGGATTGCAGCCCAGCTCTTTACCATGAGGCCACCAGAGCTCCCTTAATACAATATATTTAAATGAAATCCATTTCTATTAGTTGTTTGTGGTTTTTTTTTAATTGTTTCCCCCCCATTTTGTGAAGAAAAAAACAAAAGATCAGAGTAATAACATTTCACCAAAATATTCTCTTTTATTGTCTCAAAGTTTTTATTGAAAAATAAGAGCCAAGAAGTAAGGAAATCAATTTGGCTGATTGATTGGCTATGCCTTAATTTCAAATAAATTTCATTTTAACACTTTCTAATTTTTCATTGTAGAAGTTAATAATCCCATTTCCCCATCTTTCCCAGATATGTTACCATACATAAATACCTTTTTATATCTCAATTCTATTTATTAACATGTAATTTTATATGTGTGATTATAAAATTTTATGATTTCAAGTCCAGTTTACATTTCATCATGATAACTTAAATGGTTCAGTTTATTTTTGACCTTTATATTTCAGTTTTTCACAAATGATGCTGTGCAGAGTATTAAGTAAGCATATAGCTTTTCTCATATGTAAATATTTTTTAAAAATCTTAAAAGTGAATTGTTATACAAAAGACTTGAATATTTCTTACATCTCCTGATATAGACTCTGAAATTATTTGCTAAAGAAATTGAGTGATGAGAATGTATTTTAAAGAAAAAGATAGTAGAATTTAGAAATAAATCATATGAAATCATGTTACTCCAAAAGGAAGGTAGTGTATGTGGTGACCAAAAAATATTTAATGCTTTTTGAGTGTATGGTTAGAAAATTTATATTTGGTATGTGCAGTTAGTTGCTGGAATTGGTATAACTACTACTTAAAATAGAATATACATTTGTAACAACTCATTTGTGTGGGAACTTTTGTTTGAAGGATAATGAATTAATGTTCTCTGCCATAGTAATTGAATGAGTTGTTGTTGTTATGTGCCATCGAGTCGCTTGCGACTCATAGTGACCCTATGTACAACAGCCTTAAACTCTGCTCTGTCCTGTGCCAATCACACTGTCTCTGACACTCCCATCCCAATTACCCCAGTCACTGAATCAACCCACCTCATAGAGGGCCTTCCCCTCCTGCGCCGTCCCTCCACCCTCCCAAGCATGATGCCCCTCTCCAAGGACCGGTCCCTCCTTAAAACATATCGTGATCAATATAATAAATTTGTTTTAGAAACTTTATTTGTAACAGTTATTTCATTTTTTGGTTTTTTTTAGACACAGCTTCGAATTGATTCCTTCTTTAGATTAGCTCAACAAGAGAAACAAGATGCTAAGGGCATTAAGAGCCGGAGACTCAACAGAGCTGTGACATGTATGCTGAGGAAGGAACGGGAAGAAACAGCCAGTGAAATAGAATCAGTTTCTGTTGCTATGGAGAAAGAATTTGAGTTTCTTGATAAGGCAAAAGGAAAAGGCCAGAAGAGAAATGTAGCAGGTCAATTGAAAGATTCATCATGCCTGAAAAGGGAGAAGCTTCCTGATTCCAAACAAGTGACTAAAAGTGGTGGATTTTTGGGGGAGGCCTACCTCTCAGAATCATCTGATACATCTGTAAGTGAGGAGAGTACAGAAAGTTCACCTTTAATTAACATCCAAGCAAGGAAAGCAGCCAAGGAGTCCAAACTCAGCTCTTCAGATTTGCAGCACTCTGTAAAGCCTGACAGTGTAAAGGATGAGGGGGTGACTACCAGCAGCTCTAGTGATGATGAAAAGATGACAAAAACAGTCATGGTGACTGCCAGATCTGTGTTCAGGAAGAAAAAGGGGAAACGCAGGAATACAAGAGGAAGAAAAAAGAGAAGTCTAATGTAAAAAATATATATTTTTCTCTGTATGTGTGTGTGTGTATATACGTATACATGTGGTATACACACACACATACCCCACATTTCCTAATGAATTTTTTGTGAAAAATTAATAAAATGAAACAAATTTGCATAGTGTTTGTAGTTTAGTGTGTGATTTTTAAATACATGGTGCTATACGTGACAATTATTTCTCGATGTTGTTCCCTCCCCCATGTTTTTCTTCTTCATTGAGTATTTCCATGTCTTCACAGGGTTTCTTTATGTTTTCAATGTCTAAGGCTTTATAATCATATTTTTTAAAACTGTGAGTTTGCACTGGTCAACACTCACTCTTAATATGCATTCCTTGTGATTTTTCAGACTTGGGAGGAAAGCTAGTCTTATTTTTCATAGTGTAGTAGTGGTAGTTCCACACATCTATGTGAAATCCTGCATCCTGCTGCTTCTACTTTTCCCTCTGGCTCTAGTTGAAAGAATAGCAGGAGGGAATCTCAGAGCTGGAACAAATTAGAAGGATATGCTTTCTATAGTAATAGCAAATAATTAGAAAACCTCTATAGGGAGCATCAGTCCACAGATGACCACTAGCTGTAGAAAACCTCTATACCGTAATGCTGGGCTTTTAATATACTCTGGTGTTAAAAGCTGTGTAAATGGAATTGGAGCCTCAGGTGTGTAATTATACTGGTGTAAGTGGGCCAACTTTAGGGGTGGCTTCCAGAAGTTCTTTGTTGCTAACATATATGTGTGTTCAGAGTGATTCAACCAGGGTTATATTTAAGATTGCTCCTGGTGAGACGTTTCACAGTATAACACCCTATCTGTGGTTTCTTAAGAACAATTTGAGGATAATATTATCGATTGTTTAGAACTTGTGTTCCTTTGCTATCAGAAGCACTGTCTTCTGACATTCCTGATAGCTTTCATATTTCCAATGTTAATGATTTCTGATTTCAAATAGTTGAAAATCACTCCCAATGAAAATAAAATTGATCCTTAAATAAATATCTGTGAGTGACCCCTGAATCATTTTTTGGGCTACCGTTTATACTTGACATTGAGTATGTGACCCACCATTGGGTTTCTAAGGCTATAAATTATAAATGGGAGGAGAATGTCCATTTTTCTATCCCAGAGCCACTGGTGAATTTGAACCACCAGAGAGGCACATCCTTTGGGTTATGGGTGCAGCTGGCTACGCAGTACATCTGAGCTCTTCTTTTCAACTGGACTTCTTAGATACTCGGCCTATAGCTGCTATTTTGCTTCTGCTTTGAAATGTATTTCTTGCTTCTATCAGTCTTTATTTTTTTCCTAAAGTCAACCATGACTTTCATGTAAAGAAGCCCCACTTAATGCTTCTTTCCCCTGAAAGTGTTTGAACTAATTTAAGACTCTTTTCTTGAAAACATTAGATTTTTCTGTATTCTTGCAGGGTAACAGTTTTGCTTAAGGGGGAAAAAAAGTTCAATAAATAATTTACAAGTGCTGAGTTAATGACTTGGCTGCTGTAACAAGAAGGGTTCATATGCAGTGAACCTCGATAAATTAGAACATATTTCTCCCATACTTAACAAGCTAATCAAACTGAGTTGGTAGGACAGCTGTGCTCCATGAGGTCATTCAGTGTCCTGTATTCATCTATACCCTGGTTTAATCTGTGTCACTACTGCATATGTAATGCAAAGCAAAGGTATATTTTCTAGGACCCTGAGATCAGAAGAACTAGATGGTGCCTGGTTGCCACTGCTGGAACTTTTAAAGAGTTTGCAATGAAAAAGGCTCAAAATCTAATCAAGGCCTACTGGAATATAGAATGAGTGCTCATGGCATAGTGGGTAATTACCTGACTACTTAACAAAAGGTCAATAGTTCAACATCTGGTCCATGAGGAATACATGGATAGTTCCCTCCCATAAGGATTTACAACTTTGGGAAACAGGTGGAGTATTGAAATGGGTCAGAATTAAATAGACAGCCGTGCCTTTCGTACTGGTAGGGGGTGGGGGGAGGAAGAGATTGCAATAGAAGATCCTGAATAGAGGGAGGGGAAATGTGGAACAAAACTCAAAAGCATTTTAAAAAGAACAACTAGTGGAAGCCTCGTCAAGACCACAGTTACCATCAAACCTGGAACAAAATTCACCTTCGTGACTCAGATTTCACTTATGCAACAGATAAGTCTGAAATCATGCCAGAGAAGCATTCACTTTTTAGAATAATCAGTCATAAATGGTTAAAGAGCAGCATCTATCCGAAGAAGAATCCAGGAGGCAGGAAATGGTAGGATAGAAGGATGAATGGAATTTAGAATTGCAGGGTGGTAATGGGGGAAATGTAGGTATTTTAATGTTATAAAGCAAAATGTATATAAATGATCAAAAAGCCCATTTGCCTGGTAAACTTTCGCTCAGACCACAATAGGAGGGAAACTAGGCAAGTGGCTTGCCTTATGTTTTATATGACTGGAAAAATCATAGATCCCTTTGGTCTCAACTAAGCCCAGGGCTATATCTAAGCATGCACGGAAATGTCATCTGCAGCTGGGCTGTGTGACCAGAAAGGTGGAAGAAATCGACAGATATTTTTCTCTTAACTCTCTGACCAAGATATAATCCTACAAAAGAAGAATTAAAGAAAATTAGCTTTCTTAGCCAAAACCATTCCTCTATTAAGAAACAGTTGTTACTTGAGTCAGCCTTCTAACTCAATTCATAATACTGCTTTCCCCCTATAAAATAGAGATGATTAAAACAACAGAACAAATTTATCATTATTCAAAAGTGGGTATATCTCTGACCTCTTTCCCCCTGTAATACTTCCATTGTTTTTTTTTTCCTAAGAAATTATGTCTTCCATCCTTAAATATATGTACAACAGCCTTAAATTCTCTTCTGTCCTGTGCCAGTCTTACTGTCTCCGACACACCGACTCCCATTATCCCAGTCACTGAATCAATCCACCTCATAGAGGGTCTTTCTCTCCTGCACTGTTCCTACACTCTCCCAAGCATGACATCCCTCTCCAAGGACTGTTCCCTTCTTGCAACATGTCCAAAGTACGTCAGATGAAGCTTCAGAACCCTTGCCTACAAGGAGCAGCCTGGTGTAACCTTCTTGAGGATGAACTTGTTTGTTTTCTTAGCAGTCCTTGGTATATTCAATACTCTTCTCCAACACCACAGCTCAAAGGCATCAATTCTCCTTCTATCATCCCTAGTCATTGTCCAGCTCTCTATAAATATATAGGTGCTAAATTTAATAATTATCAACTATTAATGTTTTCCCAAATTTATCTACATTAAATCACTCTATAATGCTCTTTTTCATATATATTGTTTTCTTGGTCTAAATTTTTTGTAATCTATATCCTTGAACACTTTAAATTGTAGTTATTTTAAGAGTATGTGTCAAGTATCTCCATTATTGGTGAGGGGGGCTCCAGTGGCCCTAGTGTTAAGGAGGTATGCTGCCATCTGATAAGCACATGATTTGAATCTACCAAATTAAAAAATTCACACAATTTTCTCCACAGGAAAGGGTGAGCAGTCTCCTCCCATGCAATCTGCTGCCTCTGAAAGCCTGTTGGAGGGTTAGCTATGAGGTCGTTCCGATTCGACGGTACATAGCATCTATGTTAGCTCTGGGGTTTTTTTCCCCTCTGTTTTCTCTTTTTTGGCATGCCTGGCAAATCTAGACATTCTACAGGAAAAAATGTAACTATTCTAGATCTTAGCCTAAAATAATTCTGGAAAGGATTTTGGCAGGTTTCCAATACCCTTAATCTACTCAATAGATTTAAAGAAGTTTTACAATCTTTGTCAGGTTCTATCATATTTTCTTCCATTCATAGAGGATAGTTTTTGAGCAGTACCTATGGATGGACTGAATGTTTTCCTCTTCCTTTGAATTTTCTCTGATTTTAACTATTTAATGCTTGGCAAATTAGCATCTTTTTTTTTTCTCTTTCAACCTTTTTTAAAAAATGTAATTTTAATGAAAGTTTACAGAATATTAGATATTCATTCGTTCATTGTTGCATAATTTTCTCCCTTCCTCCCTCCCATGGGCAACTTTGCAATTCACCCCTTTTTTTGGACCGTTGTCATATAAATAATTCCTAATCATATATTCACTGCTGGTGGGAGTGTAAAATAGTGTGACCACATTGGAAGGCGGTATGGTGCTTTCTCAAAAAGTTGGAAATAGAAATACCATCCAACCCAAGAATTCCACTGCTAGGAATATGCCCTAAATAAATCAGTGCTGCCACCCAAACAGATGTATACACACCCATGTTTATTGCTGCATTATTCACAATAGCAAAGAGATGGAAGCAACACAAGTGCCCATCAATGAATGAATAGGAAAACTAAGGTATATTCATGCAATGCAATACTACGTAGCACTGAAAAACAAAACAATATACAACATACATGAACCTGAAGGACATTATGCTAAGTGAAATATCTCAGTCACAAAAGGATAAATACTCCGTAACACCACTGTTATAAAACAGAACTGACATGGTGAGTTAGGAGGAAACTAGGGGGAAAATGGATAATGAACACTGCATTGGAACAGATGAAGGAAAGAAACATTTAAAAGCAAATTAGCTTCTTGCCCTAACAAATAGGAAAACCTAGAGTGAAAAATCAGCGCTAAGCATCAGGTTAACTTCTCTGTCCTTCTCTCTCAAATCCTCAATTTCTTGCTGCTTTGACAGATTCAAATACTATTATCTGTCTTCCCTGATCTTTGAGACTGCCCAAACTTCTGCTGGCAGCCTTAGAACTTGTCCTCTCTTTGGCTTCTCAACTGCAAGTGCACAGAATTCCTGGCTGCCTTGGGAACACTTTAATGTCTTTTAATAGATGTGTAGATATGTGTGTGTTTAAAATTGGGAATGGGATTGTTTGTTTATTTAAGTTTCTAGTAGAAACAGAGATATGCTAATACACTACTTATGCGGGGAGACAGAAGTCTTTACCATTTAAACAATTTTGTATCACTGAAATAATCATTGCCATCAGGTTGGTTAAGATGATTGATTTAAGGATTGTGTTGCTGAAGAAATTCAACACTAAGGGTTGCACAATCTTTTAAAGAACTCCTTGAAAAAGACAGGCAATTTTTAGACACAGTCACTTTGTCCTTAAAAGAACTGATTCTCCCATGGATCATCAGTCACAATTTCTGACTCGCTGTCAATGAGAGAGAGAATCCTCTACCTTAAATTAACTTCCCATAAATAACACTTTACATTGTTTAATAAATCCACAACATAACATATTTTGTTTTTACCTACAAAATCCATTACCCAAATATGTATTAGGTGGCTTTTCTATTCCTGTCTTTTAAAATGAGGAAGCCAATCAGCATAATATAGAATGTCTAAAAACAGTGAGCTCATAATTGACAGAAATAATTAAAATTAGGCCCTAGATTCCTATCCTTGCTCAAGATATTAATAATGACCTTGATTCAACTTTATACAAGTCATGGTATGAAGTATTGCTTAGAAACTTTGCACATACCCCTAAGTTTAAGTTTACAATGTTAATTGATTTTGTTGCTTGCATTAAACTTTATATTAGAGATCTCTTCAACGACGAGAGAAATTTGTGTGTGCACTGAGGTGTGCACGTATATGCTCGTGTAAATGTGCATAGGTAAAATATAGATCCCCAGTCTTCCTGGTCCGCCTGGATAAAAAGGAATTCTTCTAAGGCGGTTCTTTGGTGCGGTGCAATGTTGCACACATTCTCAAATATTTTGGTGTGGTCGTCTCATTCTCAGAATGTTTTTCATACCCAGACAAGTGACATCAAAAATACCCGCCTCCATTCGAAAGCACGTCACAGTTGCTGGGTCTTAGACTAACTCAGGTTACCACCCCCGATAGTGTTTACTCATTTGGCAGGATTGGTTTCCATTCATCTCCTAGAGCTGGCTCCGTTCTTATCATGAGACACTCACATGGAAGCCTTCTATTGTTTGTCAGCCTCTTATTTATGGGTGTTCCAAAACTGCAGTGCTGTATTACCAGAGCTCTGAAGCCGCAGCTGTCAGGAGCCCTAATCCCTTCTCGGTGGACTTGTTGCCAGCGTGTACAGTAGCAAACCGCTTGCTTGCTTGCTTGGTGTTCCTTCAGGCACTAGTAGAGGTTTTTCCAGTCAAGCAAAAATTGCGGATGATACGTTTAAGCTTCTAGAAATTCAGCCTCATTTAGGTATGTTCAGACTTCACATTTAATAAATACTAGACTTCTGGAAGACGTGTAATAAACGTGTGGCTTTATTTAATGGAAGAAATGTGATATGGAGTATGATCACTTTACTATTTAGTAGGCGACTTAATTGACTACAGTGACTTAATTGAACCTTGTATTTTTCCATCATTTTTGTAATCTGCAGAGAAAATGATTTGTCTTCTAACTAAATGAAAAATATAGTTTCTGTGACAAGTGTTTTAATATCCTTAGAAGAAAGGAATGCTATATTATTTCATGGTAATTGTTTATTACCATGATTGTTATTAAAAGATCATTTTAATGATTGCTTATTATACGATCCCTAATTAAGATGTAAATCATCAAAATTTTCTCACCATTGCATAGCAACAGAAGTAAGCTTATTCACCTTATATCCTCAACTTTAGATGTATAAACTTAATTTCTTTAGTTTCATATAAATTTGTTGATATTGTATGATCTCTTGTAAAGTATAAGCTGTTCAAAAGACCCTTTGACATGTTGGCTGTTTGATATTTCATCAGTGGAAGCAACTGAATTTTGCATCTATTGCTCTGAAGAATACCATGTGTTAGATGAATACTGTGGTTTTCAAAATTCTGAACCAAACCTATTTCTTTTTTATAATTGCTAATTTTTTAATTTCAATGAACATTTACAGGTATTTTGGATTTACATTCCAAACCTATTTCTTAATGTCTTAACCACTTCTTAAATTTTAGGATTGTTATCTTCCTAGTCAATATGCAGATAATGCTTTTCTGACTCCCAAGTCTGTTTCTAAGGCAGATTTGTTACTAAGTAGACTGTATTTTAGATTGTTTTTCTTCAGTCATAATGTAACATTTTGGTATAATTGTTCTGTTGTATCAGAAATGAAACAGATACTTAGTACACATTTTTAATTTATTACCATTTTGATATTCTAGTGTATTATTTGTCTAGTCTTGAAGAAATGTTAAAGAAAGCATCAAAATATAGACATCCTTTAATTCATCACTCAGTGGATCCAGCTGCTTTAAAAGGTAAGTCAGTTTATGTTTCCTTATATAATGTAGTCAATTCTATAACAAAAAATAGACTATAAAGCCTTCCTCTTACAATGTTCTTAGTCTTAAAGAGAAGTAGTTATTTTATCAGTTGCGCTTTATATCTCCTCTGTGTTTGTTAATCTGCAAGTATCTATAATAATGTTTATTGTCTACGATTATAATATCTTTGGTTCTGTTGATATGCTAGAGGTATATATGATAGACAATAAACTGTGCATATTTGACTGTGTTGATCACAATGAATTGTGGTTAACATTGAGAAGAATGGGAATCCCAGAACAGCTGATTGTGCTCATGTGAAACCTATACCTAACCCAGGAAGCTATTGTCCAAAGAAAGCAAGGGAACACTACATGGTTCAAAGTCTAGAAAAGAGTGCTTCAGGAATATATTCTTTCTCCATACCTTTTCAATCCATATGCAGAACAGATACAATCTGGGAGGCTGAATTTTATGAAGAAGTACATGGCATCAGGACTGGAAGAAGATTCATCAACAACCTGCATTATGCAGATAACACAACCTTACTTGTTGAAACTGAGGAGAACCTGAAGTGTTTGAAGCAAAAGGTCAAGTAAGGACTGCAGCCTTCAATGTGGGTTGCATCTCAACATCAAGAAAATGACGATTCTCACCACCAGGCCAATTGGCAGCACCATGATAGATGGAGAAAAGATTGAGGTTGTTAACAGTTTCATCTTGTTCAAATCCACAATTAACATTCTTGGCGGCAGCAGTCAGACAACCAAAAGGCGAACTGCTTTAGGAGAATCTGCTGTCAGGTACCCCCTGAGTGCTGAAGAGTAATGATGAAGGGCTGTCTGATACAGGTCATGGTCTCAATTGCTTGCTCTATCTCTAAGACTTGGACAATGACTAAAGATGACAGAAGAATTTATGCCTTTGAGTTGTGGTGCTGGAGAAGAGTATTTGACTCTCTTGGAATGGCATGAGTACAAACAGATCTGTCCTTGACAGGGTGAAACCGGCTTGCTCCTGGGAGGTATAGCTTTTGAAACTTCATCTCATATACTTTGAGTATGTTTCCAGGAGGAACTAGTCCTTAGAGAATGACATTTCTTGGAAGAGTAGAAGGTAAATTCAGGAGAGGAAGACTCTGGATGAGATGGACTGACACAATGACTGTGACAATGGGGTCAAGTGTGACTTAGGAGAGGGAAGGGTACAGAGCCATTGTTCATAGGATCACTACGAGTTACAGTCAAACGGAAAGCACTTAACAATACTATAGACTTACTAATTATAGGTTTTTGAGTATGGGCTGTGTGAAAGTGGAATGTGTTTCCTGTAAATACAATATACACTAAATACATGATGTCTACATCATTTCACATTAGAAAATTGCAAGAGAGATATACTTTTATGTAAAACTGCAAGTTTTCATTAATGCTTAAAGGAAAAAGGAACTGAGATTATAAAATATTTTTAGCCTTTGCTATGGTTCTCTGTTGTGTTGACTAGACACAAATGTGTGATGTGATTTGATCTCTAGAAAGAAATCCTACTCGACTTATTGCTGTTGAGTTAGAAAAGTACTCATATATGACCCTCCAGTGAATTTTCAGAGGCTAAAGATCACACAGGAGAAAATTATGTGTTTTTCCTCTGCAGAACTGCTTGTGAATACAAACCACTTGCCTTTGGATCGGCAATGCTACTCCCTACCAGTAAGCCACCAGAGCTCCCTGGTATAAGGAAAACACGAAACTTGAATTCTCCTGATAGTGCCATTGTTATTGTTATGTACCATCAAGTTGAAGCTGACTCATAGCGGACACTCCAGTGCGCTTTCAGAAACTGTAAATTACATGGGAGGAAATTGCTCATCTTTCTCCTACACTAGTTATTTGAATTTGATTCACCATTGACTTGTATTAGTTGCTGGGGAGACAGTTACAGCTCATGGCAACCCTATCTGTGTGAGGGTAGAATTGAGTTCCATGGGACTTTCGGTGGCTCACTTCTCAGAAGTCGACAACCAAGAGTTCATGTGTAACATCTCTGAATAGACTTGACCTGTGAACTTTTGGTTAGCCACTGAGCACTAACAATTTACACCACCCAGGGACGTCATTCACTGTTTTTACACAGTCTTCAATATCAAGGGCAAATTTGCATTGATTTCATAGTAAAATTATTTCCACTTTTTTGAGATTAAAAGTTTCACATGAAAGGCCTGTTTGTCTACTTCTGAGAAGTCAGCCACCGAACGTCCCATGGAACTCAATTCCACCCTTACATAGAGTTTTACCATGTCTTTTGACACAGAATAGAAAGATTACTTTGTTTTTGTAGATCCGTTCTAACACAAGTTTAATTATCTTGGTTTCTTTCTTTCCATATCTAAACACACTGTACATCTTTGCTAAGAACTTTAGTGTAATTCTGTTTTCTGGGTTTTTTTTTTTGGCCATACCAGGTGGCTTCTGCATAGGTGAGCATATCCGAGGCCAAGGTAGCTGGGTGCATGCCCAGTGTTGGCAGCTTATGTGGCTTAAACATGAGCGGCTTTACTGTAGTGATTTTTGCAGACCTAAACATTTTAAGTGTAATCCCTTTGAGAATTCTACCATTTAGGAAATTTGAATGAAGAAGCAATTTTTGTTTGGCTCGTGAATAAAATTATGCTGTTATCACTGCCATTAGTAACCATCCTTAGTTCCAACTACCCACAGAATAACTTGGCATATTACAAAGGAAATGAAAGAAGTGCAGGTATCGTAAAAAAGAATATTGTCTAACATTATATTCTAGTTACTGTGCCGGCAGCGAACTGGAGGGACCCCTAACATGATCGCACTAAGACATTTTGTGAACCCAGAACTGGAACTATTCCTGGAGGTCACTGTTCAGCCAAATAATAGACTGACATATAAAATATGAACATCTATGAGAAATGAGAACAATCATATTGTGATGAACCAGAGGGCTAATTTTTGCTCAAAAGCAAAGATGGGAAGATGGGGAACTGGAGACACAGATACAAGGAGGAATGCAGGGTACAAATGAAGAGAGTGCAGACACATTGTGTGTGTGCACAGAACCAGTGTTACGGAGTCATTTGCCTACAAATTATTTAATGGGGACCTACAATGTAAACTTTCCCCTAAAACGCAATAAAATGTGAAGAAATAAAGAAGTTCAAGGTAGGTTTGAGACAGAGATAGCCTTTAAAATTTTTATAATAAACACAGGCCATAATAATCTCTCTATACAGCTAATTAAAGCTTTAAAAACATGCTTCTGAGTACAGTACTAAGGGGATTAAGTGTATGCTATTGGAGCACAGTCAGCGTTTTATTGGAAAGGCTTCCGCTAGCCAGAGGAACACTCAGTTCTCAAGTACTGCAGGATATTAACTTTTCCTGTACTAACTCTTTTATACTTAGCATCTTGCTCTTGGAAAGGGTGGAGCAAACCCATAGCCCAGTTCTCATATTTCAATATGTTTGCTACTTATTTATACACAGATTGAAGCTATTAGTGTAGTGGATGGGAAAAAAAAAACCCCAAAACCAAACAACCCTATCCGCTTAGTCTGTGTTGCCTGACCATTGCCAACAGCCACTCTCCAGCTGTTAGCACGTTCAACAATGTGTTATAAAGTAGTACAGTAGTCCTGATAGCCTGCAGCCTTGGGACAGGCTCATCCTAATCCAAGGCTCAGTGACTCCTGTGCCTAATGACTCCTATATCCGTCACTCCAGTTGCTTACTCAGCATCCTACTGGAAGTCTCAGCCTATCATATGTATCGATCTGGGTGTTCTGAGAAGCAGATGATAAAACGAAATTAAACATTGGGAAGGTTTATTGAGGAAATGTTCGTGCAGGATAAACAAGAAAGGCAGAAGCAGGCAGGAAGAGCCTCACCTGTGAAAGGAGAGGAAGGCCAGATCTAATAGTACACGCTTCTAACTGCAATTCAGATCTAAGGAAATCTCAGGCAGACTGATCTGATGGGACTTCTCCAGGATAGGTGTCCGTTAGAGAATTCCTGTAGTGAGTCGGAATGAGCTGAATTTAGTAAGCAGACCCAGTGGGAATCATGACCTCCTCGAACCAAAGGCATGGCAGCTGGCACTGTCAGTTGGGCTCCCTGCAGTAGTTTCTCTTAATTGGATGTGTGCTACCAGCACACATCATGCAACAAGTTAACATCTGAAAAAAAAGAGTCCCTTTGCAGATCTACCCCTCCAACTAGAAATTTCTATCTCAGTGCATTATGTCTACATAATTTTCCCCAAGCACCAAAGTTAGAGACCAGACACCTTGTCTTCTTTCTATCTTCATGATTTTCATTCTCATGATCCATTGATGCTTTTGAATTAAGATTATGGAATTTATAATTAGATGCTAAAAGAACAAATCTGTCCTGGAGGGAGTGCAGTCAGAGTGTTCCTTAGAAACATGGACAGTGAAATTCTGTCTCACATAGCTTGGACATGTTATCAAGGACAAGCTGATCCTGGAGAAGGAACGTCATGCCATGATGCTTGGAGAAGTAACAAGTCTGTGAAAAATATAAAAACTTTGACGAAAATGTACTGACACCGTGACTGAAACATTGAGTTTCAGCAGAACAGAGATTGTGAGGACGACAAAGGATAAAGCAGGATTTGGTTCTGTTGCACTCAGGGCCACTATGAATCAAAGCTTACTCCAGGACATCAAAAGACAATAACTGGATTGTTTCCTATTTCATAATTCAGGGCTTGGTCTTTTCAGTCCCTTGTTATGCATCTGAGAGCTACACAATAACTAAAGAGGACAGAAGAAGAATTGATGCCTTTGATGTGTGGTGTTGGAGAAGAGTACTGAATATCTCAAGGTCTGTCAAAAGAACAAAGAGATATGTTTTGGAGAAGGTGCAGCCAGAGTACTCCTTGAAGGCAAAGAAGATAAAGCTTCATCTCACATGGCTGTTCCTTGGAGAGGGACATCATGCTTTGGAAGGTGAAGGGATGATTAAAGAGACCCAGTGACAACAACAATGAGCTCATGTGTGTCAGAGGTGGTGAAGATGGCACAGACTAGGATAGGTTTTAGATCTGTTGTTCACTGGGTGGCTATGAGTCATACTGGACTCAATGGCACCTAACATCATCATCATCATCATCATCATCATCATCATCATCATCATCCACAACAACAGCAGCATTTTCCTGTTAGTTGCCTTGGTTCGAGTATTTTACTATTTCTTCTGTCAACTCTTACAACTCTCCTAGCGGGCAGTTCTCACCTTTTGTTTATTCTATCTAGTTTCCCCCCAACACCTACTGTGCATGTTTTGCTTTTTTGGTTGTTATTGTTTATTGTTGCATACTGTTGAGTTGCTTGTGACTCATAGTGACCCTATGTACAATAGCCCTGGAACCTGCTCTATCTACTGTGCCAACTTTTCTGTCTCTGACACACTTACTCTCATTACCCCCGTTACTGAATCAATCCATCTCATTGAGTCTTCTTCTCTTGCGCTGTCCCTCCACCCTTCCAAGCATGATGTCATTTTCCAAGGAGGTCCCTCCTTGCAACATGCCCAAAGTATGTCAGATGGAGCTTCAGAATCCTTTCCTCCAAGGAACAGCCTAATTTCACCCTCTCCAGGACAAACCTGTTTGTTCTCCAGGCAGTCTATGGTATATTAAATACGGTTCTCTAACACCACAGCTCAAAAGCATCAGTTCTCTCTCATCCCTAGTCACTGGCCAGCTCTCTGATGCATAGCAAGCAATTGTGAAGACTATGGGCTGAATCAGGTGCACCTTAGTCTCCAGACTGATGTTGTTGCTCTTCAGTACTCTGAAGGGGTCCATGACAATAGACCTTCCCAATGCAATACATCTTTTGATTTCCTGTCTGCAGGTACTAAGCGTGTTGATTGTGGAGCAATCTAAAGCAAACTAAAGCTGTTAACAATCTCAATCTCTATCTCTTCACCATCTATCATAATGCTGCCAATTGGCCCAGTAGTGAGAATCTTTGTTTTCTTGATGTTGAGCTTCAATCCATATTGAAGTCTGTAGTACTTGAACTTCTGCAGCAAACTCTTCAGGTCCTCCTCAGTTTCTGCAAGAAGGGTTGTATCATCTGCATAATGCAGGTTGGTGATGATTCTCCCTCCAATCCTGGTGCCACATTCCTCCTCATAGAGCTCAGCCTCCTGGATGATCTGTTCTGCATATTGATTGGAAAGATTAAGATAGGATACATCCCTGGCGTACACCCTTCCAGATTTTGAACCATGCAGTGTTTCACTGCTCTGTTCTGATGACTACCTCCTGGTCCAAGTATAGGTTTCACATAAGCATAATAAAATGTTATAGGATTCCCATTCTTCTCAAAGTCAGCCAGTTTGTTGTGATCCACATAGTCAAATACCTTTGCATAGTCAATGAAACACAGATAGACACTCCTCTGGTACTCTCTGCTTTCGGTCAAGATCCATCTAACATTAGCTAAATATGCATAGCACCATGGCCTCTTCTAAACCCAGACTGCACATCTGGCATTTCTCTCTTGATGTATTGTTCCATCCATTTTTGGATAATTTTCAGCAGGATCTTGCTTGCATGTGATATTAATGATATTGCTCAATACTTTCCACACACTATCAGGACATCTTTCTTTTGAATGGAAACAAATACAAATCTCTTCCAGTCAATTGGCCATGTGATTGTCCTCCAGATTTCTTGGCACAATTTAGGGAGCACATCCAGGACAACATCTGTTTGTCGAAATATATCAATTGGTATGCCATCAATTCCTGGGGCCTTGTTTTTAATCAATTATTTCAGAGCAGCTTGAACTTCTTACTTCATCACCACAGGCTCTTGCTCAGAATTTGTTACATTAAATTCTTTTTCTATCTTCTTTTAATGCTTCCTGGATCATTTAATATTTTGCCCAGAGCATCCTTAAGTATTGCAACTCGAGGGTTGAATGTGTTCTTCAATCCCTTCAGCTTAAGAAATGCTGAGCGAGTTCTGCCCTTTAATTTTCTAACTCCAGCTTTTTGACACATATTATTATAATACTTTGCTTTGCCTTCCCAAGATGCCCTTTGAAATCTTTTAAGATCTTTACTTTCTTTTTATTTATTTTTATTTTTATTGTATTATTTTTACGTGTACCGTCAAATCAGATCTGACTGGTACAGGAGGAGATTGCTCCCTCTATCTCCAGCAGAGCATTAGGTGGATTTGAACCGTTTACCTCTGGGATTGCGGTGCATCGTCTTGCCACTAGGCCACCAGAGCTCCCTCGATCTTTACTTTTTTGATACCCCTTACTTTGCCTTCTTACCACTCTAGCACAATATGCAGAGTCTTGTCTGACATCCATCTTGGTCTTTTCTTCCTCTTTTAACTTGTAATACCTTTTGGCTTCTTTATGGATAAAAGTCTTGATGTCACTAAGGTCATATTTTCAAATTGTCAGCAATTTTATTTAATTTGGATCTACAATCAACTTCCATCAAAGCAGCAGTCAAGAAATAAAAATAAGTGTTATACTGGGGAAATCAGCTGTCAAGGACTTCTACAAAGTTTTAAAGAGCAAGGATAACAGTTTAAAGACT